CCTTGGGCAATCCGGTGATGAAATCTAGGGAAACACTTTCCCAAGGTCTCTTTGGGACAGCTAGTGGTTCCCAGAATCCCGCTTGTGTCAAGCGGTCCGACTTGTCCTTCTGGCATACTAGACAAGTCTTCACATACTGAGCGACATCATCGGCCATTTGAGGCCAATAATAGGCACGACGAAGTAACGCCATGGTGCGTTCTTCACCGGGATGGCCGGCCCACAGAGTATCATGACATTCCGCTAGAAGAGTGCTCCGCAAACCTCCTCCTTTAGGAACATAAAGTCGGTTCCCTTTTACTTTCAGAAAACCATCTTCCATGTAGAACTGGCGAGTCTTGCCCTGTCCTACCAAATCAACCAAATACTAAGCAGCAGGATCCTTGATGAGTAGATCCCGTATTTGGTCCTTGATGGATGTGGCTACCTCGCTCCCCCTTAGGGTGGCGAGTAGGCACACCGATGCTAGATCAGCTCTCCGACTGAGCGCATCAGCAACATGATTGGTCTTTCCACTGCGATACTCCAAGTTGAAGTGGAATTCAGCTAGGAGTTCCTGCCACCTGGCCTGTCGACCGTTCAGCTTCGGCTGGGTCATGAAATGGCTAACAGCTGTGTTGTCTGTCTTGACCACGAACGGGGTTCCCAGCAGATAGTGCCTCCAGAGGCGCAAGCAGTGGACGAAGCCAATAATTCTTTCTCATGGGCGGCATAGCGCCGCTCTGCATCCTTCAGCTTCTGACTCTCGTACGCTACAGGGTGCCCTTCTTGTAGCAGGACTCCGCCGAGTGCATAGTCAGAAGCATCTGTTTGTACCTCGAACGGCTTGGCCAAATCAGGAAGGGCCAAGACGGGGCTACTAGACATAGCCGCTTTTAATGCGTTGAAGGCCTCTGCTCTCCTTGGTCCCCAATCCCAAGGTGTGACCTTTTTGAGGAGTTCTGTCAATGGCACTGCGATAAGTGAGTAGTTCTTCACAAACCGCAGGTAGAAGTTGCATAGGCCAAGGAATGCCCTCAAGGCGTTGACATCCTTAGGTGTCGGCCAATCTGTGATGGCCTGGATTTTCTGTTGGTCCATCTTGATGCGTCCTTCCTCGATGACATGTCCGAGGAAATCAATTTGCTTCTAAGCAAAGTAGCACTTGGATAGCTTCGCATAAAGTTCATGCTCCCGCAAACGGGCTAGGACCTTCCGCAAGTGCACTAGGTGTTCTTCCACTGTTTCACTATATACTACAATTGCATCCAGTAGACCACCATGAATTCGTCAATGTACTCTCGGAAGACTTGGTTCATCAGTGTAAAATGTAGCTGGGGCGTTAGTCAAGCCGAACGGCATGACCAAGAAGTCGTACGACCCATATCTTGTCACACAGCTCGTCTTATATTCATCACCCTCTGCGATCCGAACTTGCTAGTAACCTGTCTTGAGGTCTATCTTGGTGAACACCGTCGCACCACCCAATCTATCGAACAAGTCTGCCATTAGAGGAATAGGGTACTTGTTTTCCCGGTGATGTTGTTTAGAGCTCGATAATCCACACAGAGTCGCAGGCTGCCATCATGTTTCTTTTGGAATAGAACAGGGGACCCATATGGGGACTTGGAGGGTACAATGATCCATGTATCTAGCATTTCCGTCAATTGTCTCCGAAGCTCGGTGAGTTCGGGTTGTGACATTTTGTAAGGCGCCCGGGCAGGTGGCTTCGCGCCCGACACCAACTAAATTTCATAGTCCACAGTGCGCCTAGGCGGGAGCTGCTTTGGCATGTCTTGTGGCATGACATCTTCAAACTCCAGTAGTAGCTCCTTCACGGGTTCAGGAATGAGACCCGAGGATAGTTCTATATCTTCAATGTAGAGGGTTGCCAGGAACGTAGGTTCATTCCTTTTTACCCCCTTCTTCAACTGCAAGGCCGAGATGTTCTCAACGGCCATCTTTATGGGCATGCACGGGATAATGCAGGGCTTGGCCCTATTGGTTCCCATCATCAGTAGCATGTCTGCAAATGGTACAGGTATGGTGTAGGTTTGCCTTAGGAATTCCAACCCAACTATCAACTCGAAGTCATCTATGATCACCACTCGCAGGTTGAATTTTTCTTCGTAAGGGCCAAGCTTCACCAGTACCTCTTTGGCTATTCCACCCACTGGCTGGGGGAGGTGAGTTGATAGCCTTGACAGTACCTCTACATTTCCCTACAACTAGACAAGGCGCTCCACCTAAGTTGAGGCTAAGTGATTATGGGTAGCCCTCGTGTCTATCATAGCCCGAATGGGCTTGCCATTCACCTTCATCTCAACGAACATTAAGGTCCTCTTGTTTAAGAGGAGGCTCCTCATCCGCCTTCTTTTTCCCTTTCTTGGTGACTGGACATGGGTCCTTCTTCTTACGGATACCAGCACTGGTCTCCGCTAATGCCTGAGAAATGGAGCCAAAAATTGCATTGAAGGCACCTACTGGTTCAGTCTGGTCCGCATCATCTGAGTCGTCATCAGTCCCATCATCACAAGCCTGATGGGCATTCATATGTGCATGTGGGCACTCATTGTTCGAATGTGGTCTGCCGCAATGACGACATCCTAAAGGAGGCTTTCTCCCCCGGTCATTGTTGTTTCACGCAGCACTGTTGCTGCCTGAGGAGGGAGCCTTAGACTTGGTTGAGCTCTGATCTCCCCCACTTCTGCTAGAGCCACCATTTCTAGGCTGGCCCCCTTTGAAACCCGCTCGGGCAGGCCTATCCTTCCGAGTTTCCATTTGATAGTCCCCAAGGCATTCAACTGCTTGGATCGCCTTGGGCAGGGTATCCACCCTTTGTCATTGTAGCTCCACACAGGCATAAGGTTTTAAGCCTTCCAGGGAAGTGAAGAGCTTGTCTTTGTCCCCCAAGTCGCGTATGCTTAGCATGAGCGAGGAGAATTCCCGCACGTAGTCCCACACTGATTTGGTCTGGTGGAGCTCCCGTAGCTTTCTCCTTGCATTGTATTCAACATTTTCGAGGAAGAACTGTAGGCGTATAGCTGCCTTCAGTTCTGCCCATGTCTCGAGAGCATCTTCACCGGCCCTGATGGCTTCGTACTTCACCCGCCACCAGAGTTTAGCATCACCCTAAAGATACATGGCAGCAGTTGCTACCTTCTTAGCTTCTTCTAGGCCCCCAACAGCATCAAAATACTGTTCGACGTCAAAGATGAAGTTCTCCACTTCCATGGCATTCCTAGCTCCACTGTATGTCTTTTGCTCAGGAATTTTTAATTTTTGCGTCGCGGAAGCGGAGTTCGCAGCGCCCCCGATTTGGTTTTCACCGCCTCGAAGCAGGCCCTGTAAAGCAGCATTGACAACATTGAGCTTGTCTGTCAAGTCGTCAATAGTTTGTGGCATGGCAGTCACCCTGTCTGCCTCTTGTGCCCTGTAAGCTAAATCCTCGGCACGCTCCTGTTGGAGTCCCTCGAATTTGCCAAAAATTTCGGCTGCCTCTGTGGCTGCCGTTTGCCGGTCTCCCTCGGAGTCGCGACTGATGTTTTCTATGTCAACTTCGGCCTGGACCACCCTGCGGTCCAGGTCGTCCAACCTTTGCCCTAGGCTGGTTCTTAGTTCGAGCACCGTATCCACGATGGGCCGTAATCCGTCAACCGTCTGTTCAAGGGCCGCAATGCGGTCCCCATGATTCACCATGGTCAGAAATGGTAGTAATGGCAATACGTTCCCTCGTCCGATGTCGAGCGTAGGCTCTGATACCAACTGTTACGCGGCACCTTCCTGAGATTCCTTGGAAGGGCAACGTAAGGCTAAGCAACTGATGTCAGTGCAGTTACTGTCTGCCAACTGAGGTCCCCTCCGTACGCTAGACTAGATTGTCACTACCGTACGAGAAAACCAATGTCAAGAGCAATTGAGAAAACAGAAATGAGAATTGAGAATGAAATAAAGCTTGATTGCATTAATGAAAGCTATTACAGAAAAGCAACACGGTGTCGAGGGGGAGAGACACCAGTACAGAGAATTGTTTGCTTGCTAGAAAGTTTGATTGCTTGATCCCCCCTAATAATGCTTAAAAAAATAATCCAAAGCTACAAGACTAGACTTGAATAAACTAGAGAAACATAATGGAAGTACATGAAATAAAACTACTCTATATTTATAATGAAAAGGACTTAGTTTTCTACAAAGTAGAAATAGGTCCTTTGTCAGCAGCAGCGTCTTTGGCATCACGGTCGGTGCGCGCGGCGTTGTCTGCGCTCGCGGTGCTGTTGGCATCTGCCTGCGGCTGGGCGCTGGCGAGGGATATCGTTGGGGCGACAGAGGCACTTGCGCGCTTGTCACTTGGCGCGGCCAAGGCCACGAGGCCGTTCGTGGCGCTAGACATTGGGAGGCTTGCTAGGACGCCACGGGGCGCGCCCAAGGGGTCATGGGGCATGGCTGGAAAGCCGCCCACGACATTTTACATATACCGTAGAATTAATCCGAATCTGCTAAGCATATGGAGCCTCGTTTGGCATGCCAATAAAACGATGTTGATAGCATAGAATTAGTGACTTTCTAATATTAGGATTACAAGAATCGATGCTCGTAAAGCTACGAGGATTACTCATATAATTATTTCCTATTATGGCAATTATTAAACTCGATTTCTGGTACTAGCCAAACATTAAATTTAATTTTCTTAGACATAGAGCATGCATTAACGTGTGACCACTTTCCTAATTTATGAATCGAACATCCGCTATATATTGCTAAAGAGTATCGTTCGTTTAGGATCAAATTCAAAACAAAAGATGCACTAAGTAAAATATAATAATAAAAATTATAAGAGAGAAACAACGACCAAAAAAGGACAAGAAACCTAAAAACGGTAGGGAATAAAATGCCCGTCACGGGTATGTAATACCAACATATCACATATGTCCATATATCTGTTTTTATAATCCTTTTCAGTCAACTAAAATCCAATATAATTCAAAAAGCTATTGTCCCCACCTCCCATTCCCTCCTCTTTTCCGTTTCTACTTAATTTCTTCGTCCCACCACTTGCCACTCCACCCATAACAATAGTCATAACCACACATAAGTTAACCACCATTTTGCTTTGATTCACACTGCATTTTATGTATTCTCCTGGGTCGAAGACGAGAACTTGAAAGCGAATTATTCAATAATAAAGGTTTCATAGAACAGAAGACCTCGGTCAACGAGTTGATGAATTTGAAAATTAAGGTAATACTTTGTGTCACAACATGTTTTCATGCATAATTAAACTTTTTCCTTTTTATACATGCTAAATTTTCACTTTTCTTGTATTTCGGTGTCAAATGCAGATAACAAGATCATAGCCGGAGCAAGTGCGTTCATTGTTTTCATCTAGAGATATATACTTAACTTGAATATTCTTTAAATTACACGTAACGTATCATTCCTTGCAACATCAATATTTTGTATTCATTACCTTAAAGTTTTGAATTGAGTCTGATAGGTACTTAATGTCAACTCCAAGTTCTCCCCTCCCTTCCAATACATCCCCTACCTCCAACACCAACCGCCATCGTCGCCGCCGCTTCTCACTTCCACCATGGAAAGGTGCAAAACCAATACCACTAGCCATATCCATATTAATAGGCATACTCTTTCGCTTCGCCATTCCAAAACCCCACCAACTCTCCACTAAAGCATGGCAACTTCTAGCCATTTTCCTCACAACTATCTCTGGTCTAATTATCGGCTCATTGCCAGTTGGCGCGTGGGCTTTCCTTTGCCTCACGCTTACCGTCGTCACGAAAACCTTAACATTTGCTGCATTCACCAATGAAGTCATTTGGTTAATTGTTGCATCATTCTTTTTCTCAAGAGGGTTTATTAAAACTGGACTTGGTGATAGAGTTGCTTTATGTTTTGTGAGTTGGCTTGGAAAAAATACTTTGGGTTTGTCTTATGGTTTGGCATTGAGTGAGGCGGCAATTTCTCTGGCTATTCCAAGTACAACTGCAAGGGCTGGTGGGATTTTCTTGCCTATTATTAAGTCATTGGCTGTCACTGCTGATAGTCACCCAAAGGATGATTCTGCTAAGAAGCTTGGTGCTTATCTTGTTCAATCTCAGTTGCAGGTTACCTTTTATTATTTAATTTATTCACTTCCTATAGTATGCTTATATTTAACTTATAAAATTGCTTTACACTTTGAGTGCAATTTAACTAGCTATAATAGGTTATTGCTCCACATTTCAGGAAATGCTATTAGTTTATTGTAGGGGGCTGAGTCGATAAATGGCCAGGTCATCGACTCGCCCAAAAGTTACTTTGGTTGAGATGAATTGGGTCAAGATGGGCTAAGATTTGGGTCATAGCCATTCGCTATCATCGTACTTGTTTTTAGTAGAAGAATCAGCCCGTATAGTTATTTTTAAACTAAAAATAGCCGGAAGATATGTAATCTATGTATAATATGTGTATATGCATTTATAATCAGCATATTGTATACAATTTATTACGACAAGTAAACAGTGAATCCGACAGTCTATTCGGATATAAATCTCTTAATATGAGCAGAGGTTAATGGGTTCACTGCTTTGTATAAAAAAGAAGCTCTAAGCAACATTTACGGAATGAAATTTAGCAGAGGTCTAAATTTCACTTCTTTCTTCTTTAATTTGTTGACGAGTCTTTCATTTTTTATGTTTAGCAAATGCTAAAAAATGCTATGCGGGCATATGATCAATGATTTGGTCAATTGGTAATTTGGAATCATGCCTAAACCTCGCCGTAACAACGAAAGGGTTCCGGCAGTTGTTCGCACCACCCTCTTCCGATGGCGGAGAGGTGGAGGTGGAAGAGGATATCAGTCCTCTTACAGTAGAAGCACTATTACCGAGGCATTCTTCATCTCGGTGTGATTTCAACAAGGAGTCTTCCACTCCGAATCTAGTGCTTTCCGAGTCGGAACAGAAACATTTAGACAACCTCCGCACTAAATACGGTATCTCTGCCCACATAGAGATGATCCCAGCGGAGGGAGACCACACTGACGTTCATAGGCCAGGGTACTGTGCCTTCTATGAATACCCCTTTATGATAGGCTACGGCCTTCCTCTTTTTCCTTTGGCGGAGGAGTTCTGCAGATTCTATAACATCTGCCCGGTTCAACTTACGCCGTATACACTTAAAGTGCTTCTACTGCTGACCAAATACACGGAGTTGGCTGAATGCGACATCTCGGTTCATCATCTCTTACACTTTTTTACCGCCTGTTTCCTGAGATGGACCATGGTGCATCTGAGAATCCGTGGTACAAAGCGATTGGTGGTAGGAACTGACGACCGAGCGAGCCGTGGATTCTGGTGTAAATATTTCTTTGTTAGGACCGAACATGTGGTCTCTAACCCCACCGAATTCCTAGAGAGGTAGAACCCGATGCGTAAGTGTTGCCATTTGTTAAGTTCCTCGTTACATGTAGTTGTTGCCACTCTAATTCTTGTATTGCAGCCATGGCTCGCCCGCCCCAGCCCATCGTCGGTCTCAGAAACTGGGTCGCTGGCCTGTTACCTCACACGGAAGAGACCCGCTCTTGGCCTGCTTTTATGCAACGCTACGGCCCCAAAGTCTCTTCAGGTAGACTTCTAATTCTTGTCCCGTCGATTATACGACCTTGCTCACTTGTATGGTTTTATGGAAACAGGTCGAGGTGCTTCTAGGAAGAGGGCGCCAGTCCCAGCTTTCATCCGACCCAACGTCGCTTCGGACGCTCGTGATATACTATGCGAGTCTGTCCGAGAGGGTCATCCTCTAACTTCCCAACAGGGGGCTACGTCTGCAACTGCAGCTATGGGGGAGTCGACATCGCCGGTGCCGACCCCACAACCCATCGATGAATCTTCCAATGGCGAAGAGCCGTTGGAGAGAAAAAGGAGAAGGCTGGAGATGGGAAAGGGGGTCGCCACCGAAGCCGACGGGAGTAGGACGCCCCGAAAAACACCGAGGCCTGTGTTTATGGCTGATGCCATTCTAATGGGGAGGTCTGCCCGGGAGAGGAGTGCCGCCCCTGGTACCAGTTCGGTGCGTGCTGCTGAGGGAGGTTCGTCGACTAACGTCGGGGGACCCGGCAAGGAAGCTGATGAGTCGGGCTCCGACATTGCCCAGGAGGACGTGAATGAGTTTGTGGGTGGTCACACCCATGTGGAGATGACAACGGATGGGTCTGACCGTCGCATTGTGATCCCGGGAGATTACAACTTGCTGCTAAATTGTGAGCAGGTTGCATCGACCCTTACCCTGTTGTGTGCTGCTCCTGAGAGCGAGACGCTCAGAACTGTGAATGATGCAGAGCTGTCCCGGAGAGTCGTCGGCATGGCCTTACATGTAGATTTCTTCATTCCCTTCCCCTTTATTGCGTATTGTGGGATTGGCCTAGGAATGTACTTACTTCTGTGTTCTTCTCAGACCCTTGTCTTGGAGGTGGAGAGAGGCCGTCGCGAGCGGAAGAGGACGGACCTCTATAAAAAGATGTCGATGAAATATCGAAAATACCGTGCTAAGCACCCAGCAGTGGTCGACCTCTACCAGCAGGACCCTGAGTTTCAAGTTTTTTGCGAGGGGCTCAAACAGAGGGAGGCCCAGTTGGAGCGCAGGGGGGCGGAGCTGGAGGGGACGGATGGGGAGCTGATGAGGGCCGTTGCCCGTAACAGTGAATTGGAGGCCCTTCTTAGGGCAAAATATGATGAACTCGAATTGAGTCGGGGGGTGACAGCGGAGAACGCCGACTTGCAGCGGAAGGTAGCTGATTTGACCGCCGAGCTTGGTGCCAGAAGGGCAAAGATTGATGGGCTCAAGGGCGAGCTAGGTGCTAGTGCCAATAAGTTGACTGAGCTACAAAGGCAGGTTGCTCCGCCGAGGTCAGAGGAAGTGCATCCCCTTTCTCGGCCCTCCGCGTCTCGTCCCCCGTCTGGTCGAGGTCCACCTCGTAGTGCATATGAGATGTGGGTCTTTGCGGAGGCTCGACTTGACGTGTATAGAGCTCTTCATGTCGAGGGTCGGGCGACGGAGGAGGAGGTCCAGGCGAGGCAGAACGAGGCTCGTACAGCTCGCGAATCATGTGGGTACTACCCCGACTCTCCCGATGGGGAGGATGCTGCTTCCGAAGACGTCAATCGCCTCGACTCAGATTCTTGGTATGAAGACGTTTATCCCACAGGGGGTGATGAGTAGTTCTAAATTTGTATACTTTTGTGTGTATATATATTTTTGGCTGTGGATTGTACTGGAGCCCGTCCATGGGGGCGAATGTAACTGTTTTTTGTTGTAATATAAACTTTACTTTTGTCGCTTCATTTATTTGTTGCTTTTCCCTTCTTGGGTTTTTTCATAATACTTAGCCTCCGTAGAGGTTGCTTTTATTACTTGTTAAAAAGGTCGTGTCGTGGTTCGAGCGAGGTCGAACTGATGTTCGATGGCCATTAGGATGTTGCTTTGACTGTCGTCGAAGTAGTATCCATTGTAGTTCGAACAAGGTCGAACCGATGTCGATGGCCTTAGCCACGGATGTTGCTTCGACTGTCATCGAAGTAGTATCCGTCGTAGTTCGAACGGGGTCAAATCAATGTCGATGGCCTTAGCTATGGATGTTGCTTCGACTGTCATCGAAGTAGTATCTGTCGTAGTTCGAACGAGGTCGAACCGATGTCGATGGCCTTATCCATTAGGATGTTGCTTCGACTGTCGTCGAAGTAGTATCCGTCGTAGTTTGAACGAGGTCGAACCGATGTCGATGGCCTTAGCCATTAGGATGTTGCTTCGACTATCGTCGAAGTAGTATCCGTCGTAGTTCGAACGAGGTCGAACTGATGTCGATGGCCTTAGCCATTAGGATGTTGCTTTGACTGTCGTCGAAGTAGTATCCGTCATAGTTCGGACGAGGTCGAACTGATGTCGATGGCCTTAGCCATTAGGATGTTGCTTCGAATGTCGTCGAAGTAGTATCCGTCGTAGTTCGAACGAGGTCGAACTGATGTCGATGGCCTTAGCCATGGATGTTGCTTCGACTGTCGTCGAAGTAGTATCCGTCGTCATTCGAACGAGGTCGAACTGATGTCGATGGCCTTAGCCATTAGGATGTTGCTTCGACTGTTGTCGAAGTAGTATCCGTCGTAGTTCGAACGAGGTCGAACTGATGTCGATGGCCTTAGCCATGGATGTTGCTTCGACTGTTGTCGAAGTAGTATCCGTCGTAGTTCGAACGAGGTCGAACTGATATCCATGGCCTTTAGTATCCGTAGTTCGAACGAGGTCGAACAAATGTCGATGGCCTTAGCCATTAGGATATTCGTTCAGTGGAGATTCCCATTCGTAGAATGGAGATCAACTTTCGTTCGTATAATGGAGATTTCCGCTCATACAATGGAGATTTCTGTTCATACAATGGAGATCTCTATTCATACAATTGGAGATCTCTGTTCATACAATACAGATCAACTAGTATAATCCCTTCATTATATCGGCCTAGAGATCGTGTCGACTGGCCGATGTGATGAATCTGCGCTCTGATACAACCGGGTACCCCCTTCGCCGCCTCGTTAAAAACCTCCCCGAGAAAACCCAATTGGGACAAAACTCGGGTGAGGGAAAAAGAGTACGATTTAGGAGATGCCTTTCAGAAGTGGAAGTACTTGAGGTGGGCGACGTTCCAGTTGTTTTGGAGCGGTTTTCCCTCCATTGCTTCTAGTTGGAACGCTCTTTTGTTTGCGGCTGCTATGATTTTATACGGTCCGTCCCAGTTGGTTCCCAACTTTCCCTCATTCGGGTCTTTTGATGCCAGTGTTTTGGCTTTGAGGACGTAGTCACCGACTCTGAGCGATCTTACTTTGGCTTTTTTGTTATAGTATCTTTCTACCTGCTGTTTTTGGGCTTTCATTCTTATATGGGCCATGTCTCTTCGTTCTTCAGTTTCGTCTAGGTCTTGCAACCTACTTTCATCATTGTCTGCCCCGCTGGTATAGGAATATCTCAGGCTCGGTTCCCCGACCTCGACGGGTAGACTGCATCGTTCCCGTAGACCAGTGAGTATGGTGTTTCTCCCGTGCTGGACTTGGGCGTAGTCCGGTATGCCCATAGTTCTTCAGGTAGTAATTCGGGCCATAGGCCCTTAGCTTCCTCGAGCTTCTTTTTCAATATGTTCAATATTGTTTTGTTGGAAGACTCGGCTTGGCCGTTAGCGGCGGGAAGATACGGAGTGGAGAGTATCCACTTGATGTGCCATTTTTCGAAGAACTCGGTTATTTTCCTACCGACGAACTGGGGCCCATTATCGCAGCTGATTTCTTTGGGGATACCGAAACGGCATATAATATTTTTTCATGTAAAAGCGATGACTTCTTGTTCGCGTATTTGGACGTATGCACCTGCTTCCACCCATTTAGAGAAATAGTCAGTTAAAACTAAAAGAAAGCGTACCTTTCCTCGTCCGGCTGGCAGAGGGCCGATTATATCCATTCCCCACTTTATGAAGGGCCATGGCGAGGTGACTGAATGGAGGAGCTCCCCTGCTTGGTGTATCATGGGGGCATACTTTTG